GGTGCAGGAGGCTCGGCGTGAGAGATACCGGGTGCAGGAGGCTCGGCATGTGAGCTACTGGTTGCAGGAGGCTCGGTGTGTGAGATACTGGGTACAGGAAGCTCGGCGTGTGAGATACTGGATACAGGAGGCTCAATGAATCCAACCTAGGAATTTGCATGTCACGCGGTTCTGACTCCAACATTATCCAGTGACAGCGGTTCCCTGAAGTTATTGGGACAGGTAGATAAATTGCTTGAGAAGGTATATGGGACAGTTTCCTTTACTAGCAGAGGCATAGTTTTTAAGGGCAGGGAGTTGGAACTGTTGGTTAGGCCTTAGCTAGAGTATAGTGTGCAGTTCTGGAATCCACTTTATAGGAGGGATGCGGTTGCACTGGAGAGGGTACAGAGGGAGATTTCACAGGATGTTGCCTGGGCTGGAGATTTTTTAGTGACGAAGAGTTTCAGTGATGAAGAGAGATTGGACAGACTGAGGTTGTTTTCCTTAGAGCAGAGGAGACTGAGAGGGGACATGATGGAGATGTATTAAATTATGAGGGACATAGATAGGGTAGACAGGAAGAAACTGTTCACCTTGATGGAGGGAACAATGACCAGGGAGCATTGATTTAAGGGAAGGGGCAGAAGGTTTACGGGGAACGCAAGGGAATTTTATTTACCCCCAGAGGGTGGTGGGAATCTGGAACTCACTGCCTGGGAGGGTAGGAGAGGCAGAAACCCCTCATCACATTGAAGCAGGATTTAGATACACACTTGCGATACCAAGGGCATGGGCCAAGTGCTGGGAAATAGGATTCTTGCCATTCCCTCATGGGATATAGGTGTCGCTGACAGGGCCAGCATTTATTCCCCATCCCTAATATCCCCTTCAGAAGGTGGGGGTGAGCTGCCATCTTGAACTGTTGCAGTCCGTGTGCTGTGGGTAGACCCACAATGTCCCTTAGGGAGGGAATTCCAGGATTCTGACCCAGCGACACTGAAGGAACGACCGATATATTTCCCAGTCGGGATGGGGAGTGGCTCGGAGGAGAACTTGCAGGGGGTGGTGTTCCCATGTATCTGCTGCCCCTTGTCCTTCAAGATGGAAGTGGTGGTGGGTTTGGAAGGTGCTGTCTAAGGAGCCTCGGTGAGTCACTGCAGTGCGTCTTGTAGATGGTACACACTGCTGCGACTGAGCGTCGGTGGGTGGAGGGAGTGGGATGTTTGTGGATGTGGTGCCAATCAAAGCAGGGGCTGCTTTGTCCTGGATGGTGTCGAGCTTCGTGAGTGTTGTAGGAGCTGCCCCCATCCAGGGGCAAGTGGGGGGTATTCACTCACACTCCTGACTTGTGCCTTGTAGATGGTGGATTGGATTTGTCAGGAGGTGAGTTACTCGCTGCAGTAATTCTAGCCTCAGACCTGCTCTTGCAGCTGCTTGTCTTTACATGGTGAGTCGAATTGAGTTTCTGGCCAATGGTAACCACGAATGTGAAGGGTTTGTGGTTAGATTATATTTTGTTGGAGATGGTCATTGCCTGTCATTTGTGTGACATGAATGTTACTTGCCAGTGTTATACAGTGAGACACCAGTTGCCATCTGTCCCATGCCCCAGTGTTATACAGTGACAAGCCCGTCCCCACCTGTACTGTACCCCAGTGTTATACAGTGACAGGCCCGTCCCCACC